TGATTTTATTATAGTTTTATCTTAATTTACTGGAGCACAATGGTGGGTCCTACACAATGGGTGAGCTCTCTTTCTTGCCCCAACTCCTGCCACCTAGCAGTTCAGAAGCATGCAGATGCAAGTAGATAAATAGGTACCACTTCAGCGGAAAGTTAACAACATTCTGTGTGCCTCGTCGTATAGTCATGCTGGCCGGATGACCATGGAAGCTTCTTTGGACAATGCTGGCTCCTTCAGCTAGGAAATGGAGATGAGCACTGCCCCCTAGAGTCAGACACGAGTGGACGGGAAACATTTACCTTTTTACCTTAATTTAATATTTTATCTCATATATTGCATTGTGCACAAATGTGTATGTATATGAATACGAACATGGATAGTGCACACAAGCGGATCTTTGCTAACCCAGAAGAAGCTACACATCACTCATGCTTTAGAGATCATTGCTGGGGATTTTTGGAATCATTCTTGTTTTATTACTACTATCCCAATTTCTTCAGGAAATAACTGGAACAACTGAAATGTAGTGTACAAAAGCTCTCCATTGTGAAAGCGTACTGGATTTTTGACAAGCAATTCAATTTGATATGAGGGAATTTGCGTTAAGGCAAAGAACATGTTAGAAAATTTCTTCCATGTATATTTCTTATACATTTATTTCTTACATTTATATTTTTACACACACACACACACACACACACACGATGTGCTTGCATTAATTTATGAATGAGGTTGAAAAGAGGTTTGACAGACTGATTTGTTTTCATCACACAATAATTCCTTCAGATGTGAGACCCATGTCCCCAAGGAACTTTTTGAGGGACATCCTTTAGGACAGGTCAATGTGATTGATCTGTAGAAATACCCACAGCATTATCTGAATTAAAATTGATTTGAGCTTCCTTTTGCTGACAAGGCAAAGGCTGGAAGAACAGATTTCCAAAGATACAAATCAGTAGAAGAAAATCCATGAAACTGCTGTGTCTCAAATACAACCTCTATTCATAATAAAATCAAGGTTCATTCTTGCACCTCTTTTACTTGTTTGAGTGATACAGCAGGGTAAATGTCCCCTGTTTCTGGACAGGAAGCTCAGTTTCCTTCTGTCTGTTGTTCTGCGAATGGACAGATTTGGAATTTTACTTCCCACCGCATGAGAATTCTCTCACAGATACAGTAACTGACATCCTCCTGTGAATCAGGATCCCTACCCCAATTAACTTTTTTTTCAGATACTTGAAAATATAATAATAGAATGGTTAGCTGTCAGGCTGCAAATCCTCTTGAATCATCTTTATTTAGAATGACTCTGGATCTCACATCTCAGCTCCATTCATAGAAAATTAAAATAGTGGGTGGCTGCAAGTAAGTGCTTTATTTAGAAATCTGTCTACTGCCCTAGGAAAAAAAAGAGAAATCAAGGTAAGCTAAATGGTAAGAGCCAGTTTGGTGAGCAGTTAAGGCACCAGGCTACAAATCTGGATTCCATAAGTTGTAGGCCTGTCTTAGGCACAAAGCCAAGTAAGAATCTTTCAGTGAATTAGGCTCTCTCAGGCCTAGGAAGCAGGTAACAGCAAACCACTTCTGAAAACTTACTAAAACTTATCCAAGCAATCCAACCAGGTGCCAACACTGACTCAAAGGCAATGTCACCCCCCCTCCACAGTGAGTGATAGTCAGAATCCTGAGGAACCAGAGGAGAATGCAAGAAGAAGTTGGCTAATTTGTGTTCTGGTAAACACTTGTTTGTGACTGGCAATGGTCACCATGGCAACCATTTTGTGGGTATAGATCATCCTCAACCTACAGTCATCTGTTCAGCAATTGTTACGATGGTGCTAAATAAATAATGGTTATTCACTGGCCCTCAGAGCTGTCCCAGCATCCCCATGGTCATATGATTGTGACCGGGGCACTTTGGTATCTGGTTCAAACTGACAACTGGTTGCAGAGCCCTGTAATCACATGACTGCTTGTGAAACTTTCCCTGACTTCCCCAGAAAGTCAATGGGAAGTTGGCAGGGAAGGTTGCAAGTTTGTGGGGAAAAATCTCCCATATCTGTGCACATTCTCCTACACTTACCACACCTCTCCTGCATTCCTGCACACCCTCAACTTGCGCTACACCCTTGCGCAGCCTCCCTGACCTATACACGTGTTGCACATTCCCTTACACCTTATAAACCCTCCCTTATAACCTCACCCTCCCCAATACTCCCCTGCATCCTGCAACCTCATTCCTTTTCCTATCCAGCAGCAGCCATTTCCTTGCTACCGGCCTGGGACTTGCAATTTCCTGCTGGCTTTCCCACTGACTTTGACTGTGGGAAGTCAGTAGGAAGTCGCCTCGCCTAACCACTATGGAATTTAGTTAACAACGGCAACCAGGACTGCCAGGATTGTTGTTGCTAAGTTTGGTGGTCATACTTTACAATCATATAGCTTAGCAATGGAAACTCCGGCTCCAATATCTGTCATAAATCAAGGACTATTTGTAGGCAAGACCTCTGTCTCATCAGTCCTGAAGAATGACCTAACCCTCACTGGATCACTTTGAATCACCACACTTTCTTTTTTTCTTTCAAAGTTAAATATCTCACCATATTACCTTGAGGATAAAAAAAAGGGGGAGGAACCCTAAACAAATGAAAGAAAGAGAATTATGTAATCTCTCTTCCTTTGTTTTTTTTTGCCACTCTAAATCAAGAAGAACATTCACAACAGCATATAAAAGTAGTCCTCAACATACAACTGTAATGGAGCCTGCCCATTGTGACTGTATGTTGCGACAAGCAGGGGGTTGGACTAGATGACCTCCAAGGTGCCTTCCAACTTTACTATTACTATTATTATTATTATTATTAAACATATTTTTTATGTTTTTATTACCTTTTTTGCAGCAGTAGTTAAGCAAATCCAGTGCTGGTTTTCTCCAAAACCATCATAAAATGTGATCGCATGTTAATGGGACACTGCAAACGGTCTCAAATGCAGCAGTGTTGCAGTTGGGACATGTGACTTGAGCAGATGGACCCCAACAGTCAGAACTTCAAATCTAGTCACTAAGTGACCAATCATAAACCAAGGACCAGTTGTAAAATACCCCACTACAATATAATATTTCTTGTTAATAATATCAAAGTGATTTTTTCAGCTAATGAATTTCTAGTGAAATAAACTTGGTTTCAGATGTAACAATTGGCACACAATTTTTTTTTCCTCCAGGATGAGATTGTATTATGCTTATGACTCTGACACAAATGATGATTCTACTATGTGTTCAGTACAAAGACTTAATTTACAATATTATCTTGATAGCTCTCTAATAGATGAAAATTCAAAATGGAATAAAATTAATTCAATTCCACCATCAGGAGAATTAAAAATCAGCTAATTAGTCCTACTAATATATTACATTGAAAAGCTTTGTACAAATCTGATTTTCTATAGAATTAGGTAGCTAAACTGAGCAGACAAAAGCAAGCAGATTTGAGAATATCATTAAATGAAAAGCTTAAAACAAATGCAGGCCTTGAGTATGCCAAGGGTTTATTGCAATTTTCCTATATAAATGCTAATATAAAGAAAAATATATTGTTTCTTTTAGATATAGAATTTATTACTAGCAGCTCTACTGTTAATATACACTAGAGGGTGCTCCTGCAGTATCCTTTATATTATGTCTTCTAAATAATATCTCTAGTTAGAGTAGACCATTTGCTTCCATTCTGATTTTGTTCTAATTAAGGTTCCCAACAACATCAAACGTTTCAGGATAGGGCATCTTATCTCTATCTCTTAAATCAGGGCACTATTTTTTTTTTTTAAGAAACTGAAGTTTAGTCTAGGATGCATCAGAGTTGCTTTATTTAAAAAATGGTACCTTTGGAGTACTTTGTAAGAGAATAAATGTACGAAGAGTCTGCGAAGAAGCTAAGTTAACCAGGAGTTTCCACTTCTCATCTATTTATTGGAAGTTCTTTAAAAGCAAATATGCTGAAATTCGTATATGGCCAGCCCGCCGGCCTGCCTTCCTTTCAACTTCCTGCTAGGGAATATGCTTCAGGGAAGTCTCTTAAGATTGAATGCTTTGAGAAAAAAATGCATGCATCATTTAATTTATGTCATAGACCAGGGGTATTAAACTCAATTTCATTGAGGGCCACATCAGCATTGTGGTTGCCCTTGTGGGGGGCAGGTGGGTGCGGCCTACTGGAGGGCATCGATGGAGTGTGTGTGGCCTATTGGGGGGGCATAGCCAGCTCTACATTATTTGCATCAAGAGTGCCTGTGGGGGCTTGGGCAGGAGTGGGACAGATCTGAGGGTCTCTGGAAGAAGTGGATGGGATCAGGGCAGAGCCCATCAAACTGGATATGTGAAGTAGGCGAGGGCCATTTGCTGGCCACTTCCAGGCAATGGTGCATTTCTTCATTCCTCATAAAGGGTGATACCTCCCCAGCATGCACCCAGGGGGTGGGGCCGACGTGGCAGGGACTGGTTCCTCCTGTTTCCAGATGGCCTTGAATGCATTTCAGCATAGACGGCCACTACAAAATTGTACATTGCCTTCCAGCCAGCCTGGGCCAGAGCAAAGGCAACGTGGGCCGTTCCCTCACTGTTTCCAGGATGGCTTCGCGGGCCGCATGAAACCACTTCACGGCCGCATCCGGCCCCCGGGCCTTGTGTTTGACATGTCTGTCATAGACTCATGATACCATACTTAGTAAATCAGTTATTTACTTACTAGGAAAATATGTATATTGAATATATATTGAAATATTAGTTCCACTCTTATTAACAAACATATTAGCTTGGTTGTGTGTTTCTTAACCCTTCATTTACCAGAATGCAGCAAATTTTAGACTATCTAATAAGAGAGTTTATCCAGCACAAGTTATAGTACCACTTTCCAAGTGTCAATTACTCTATTTCTCTGGGCAACGCACATATTATTTCTTCTGTGCAAAAAGAGGTATCGGTCCTGGGAGGTTGACAGTACCTGAGTTGTCCCCATAATGTCTGAGCTTTGTTTGCGTTGCAGGTATTCACAAGAGGCAGCAGTGGGAGAACTTGTGGTGGTTACATTCGCCCTTCAGAGGCTGAGAAACCCTATGATGAGGAATGAACAGAAATGGGGAAAAAATAATAGCAAAATGTTAGAAGCCCCCACACCCACACCCCTCTGCAAAAAAGTAAGCGTAAATGCATGTGGAATTAATTTAAAAAAAACAAAAAAAATTAAAAAAAAGTATGGCCTTGCACCACTTTTATTGCAACCAAGGACATCCCTGGACAAGCGAGTAAGTGAGCGGAGAGTTACAGTGTCTGGATGTTTATTTTGTTTGTTTATATATTTATTTAAAAGACGCACGCTGCCCTTTAAAACCACGTCTCCCCAGGTGGTTTGCAATCCGTTAAAATCACCAAAGAAAAATGGAGACCGGTACCTAAAAGCTAGACCAGTGGTTCTCAACCTGTGGGTCGGGACCCCATTTGGGGTCGAACGGCCATTTCACGGGGGTCGCCAAACAAGGCTGTCGGCCATTTTTTTCTCCCTTTTCTTTGGCCACGCCCCTGGCACCCGGTGATGTATAAGTGGTTGGGGGTCACCACAACATGGGGAACTGTATTATGGGGTCGCGACATTAGAAAGGTTGAGAACCAGTGAGCAGACCATAGGTAGTAGCAAGATAATAAAAGCAACAACCAGATTAGCTTAAAGAGCATATCTTTTTAAAATTAGCACATTAACGGAATAAAGCGTCTGAGAGAATAGCATTATCATTGCTGGAGGCTAAAAAAACAGTAATGTCAGAAATTGGGTGTCCCTCTCTCTGGAGAGAGCATTCATTGATGCTCAAAGGTTTGGAAATGGATGGACAATACACTAACTATTGACTTTCCATGCACACGGATGCCTATTTAATACCTGCAAACTTCCTACCCCATTTTCATTTCTATATTTAAAAATTAATTTAAATAATTTAACAGGAAAGTAGTAGGCTCTATAGGCCACCACAGTATATTTAAATGAAGGGTGGAAGCTGAAGCACTAAGGAACACTTAGAACAGGGATAGGCAATCCAAAACACTCAAAGAGCCACTTGGACCCGTTTCCCACCAAAAACAAAACACTGGGAGCCGCAAAACCCTTTTGATATCTAAAATGAAGATAAGACTGCATATATCCTTTTTTACCTTTATTATAGGTGTGCGTATGTGTATGTGTGTGTGTATGTGTATATGTGTGTGTGTGTATACACACACACACACACACACACACACACACACACACACACACATTAAAAATAAAAGTAAAAATATGACTCTTGGGAATATCCATACTATTAAAACAATGATCACCAAGAGAATGCTTTAAGAGAATAAAATTACATACACACAAAGGTAAAAAAAGGATATATGCAGTGTTATCTTCATTTTAGATGTCAAAAGGGTCTCTCGCTCCCTCCCTCTCTATCTGCCCTTGATCTGCCACTCCTCTTCCCCCACTCTCTCTCTCTCCCTCTCTCTCTCTTTCTCCCCCCCCCTCCTATCTGCTACTCACCTGGCAAGCTTCAAGCTGTTGTCCAACAACTTCCGGGGTAGGCAACCTCGTCTCTTTTATGACTCATGGACTTCAACTCCCAGAATTCCTGAGTCAGCCTAGCTGGGCTAGCTAGCTCTCTCCTGCCCTTCCTGCTTCCTGCTTCCTTCAGAGACGCAGCAAAGGGAGGAGCTCCGCCCAGAAAGCTTTTCAGCTCCTCGGAGAACAACTGTGAGTGCAGTCTCTTTTACACATACACACACACACACAACAACACAGAGAGAGAGAGAGAGAGAGAGAGAGAGAGAGAGAGAGAGAGAGAGAGAGAGAGAAGCAGGGAAGTGCAATTGCCTCTGTCTGTCTCTGTCTCTCTCTGCAAAGGCAGAGGAGGCTGGGAGCCACAGGGGAAGGCTCAAAGAGCCGCATGCGGCTCTGGAGCCGCAGGTTGCCGACCTGTGACTTAGAAGGTAGACAGTTACTGCTTGTCTTTCAATTAGAATGCATTTTGTAATCGTCTTTATTCACTGCGGTAGCCACAGATAGTACAAAGCCTGTCATGGTTCACAGGATGTCTAAAAGTACTATATTTCCAAGAATGCCTACCACCCCACAAGTTGTTTGCTTATTCCTGCAACGTTGCTTATTTCCTGGATAAAGGGAAAAAGAATTCCACTATTTCAGGAATAATGTGCAATCTATGTACAACATATGCACATATGTTCTAAAACAGGTTGCCCTAGTTAATTTCTCTTCAAAGGTATTGGATAACAGTTCCTGGCATTGCCAGCTACCCAAGTCTTTTGAATAACATCCTTGTTCTGTCTGGGAATTTGGGGGATTGTATCCCAATATATTGGGATATCTCTAATACAGGTAGTTTTCATTTACCAGTCACAACAGGGACCAGCAACTGCATTGCTAAGCAGCATGCCTATCACATGATTATGCCAACTTACAATGTCAGTTCCATTGGTTCTGGTTGTGGCCATTAAGTGAATGGCTGCAGGTTGCTAAGTGTGATATCATGTGACTGTGATTTCCAACTTCCTGTCGACTTCCCCATTGACTTTGCTTGTTGGAAGTCACTTCTGGAGCTTGCAAATGGAAATCATATGATCCTAGAAACATTCGACTATCGTAAATGAGAGCTGGTTGCCAGGTATCCAAAATTGCAATCACATGACTATGGGGATGCTCTTTTGAAACCCACATAAGTCTTACTTTTCAGTGCCACTGTAAGTTCAGCGTTCTCTGACTGAATAATTGGGAATTGAGAATTGCCTGTATAAACCAAAGTCCCAGGTTTGTTCTAAAAATGGCACATTCTATCGCTCATATTTCCCTATTCGATCCAACCATAGCCCCTGCTATTTCATCAACCAGGAGAGATGAAAAAGGATCAGGTCTGTTGGAATATTCATGAGCAGGAAGAGTCATGTGGTAACTCAGTCAGCCAATGTGAAGAAAGTCCTACTGAGTCTGTGCAAAAGGGTATTGAGTTAGGAGCTGGATTTTTCCAGTCTCAGGTTTGTCTCTGTATCTCTCTGTAAGAAGTCTTCATTAAGCTATGTTGTTGTAAAGAAGAATGTATGGTATTGTAAATATTTTGATATAAATATAAAGAAATTATTTTGAATCAGCTAAATGCAGTCAACTGTGAGAGCTTCTGATTTATTTTTTTACCAACAGAGAAATTAAAATTCTCTAACAAGGCCCAAGATGTCATTCTTAATAAGGGATCAATCTATTTCTTCCCTTCAAAGAAAAGAGCTGAGAAAATAAATGAGAGACATGAAAAAGGTTGCTTTATTGCCATTCAGTTCCACAAACTCTTACTTCCTCATCTCTGGTCAAACTGAATGTATAGTTTTCCACGCTAGACTTATTGTGATTCTTGCCCTGTCAATCAAATGAGATTAGGTTTGCATTCCAGGTTCCAAGAATATCATTTCTCCTTAAGCAAATAACTTGCCTTACCAAGCTGTTTAACAAAAATAACAACAACAACCGTGGAGAGATGGCTGAGAGATGGCTATCCTTTTGTTTTGCATAGTTTAACAGCTATGCTAGAATTGTCTCCACGTAGAGCAATTAGATCAACAGAAAACCCATTTTAATATGGAAAAGACAACATTTAAAATATGTGTTATGTACTGTATGCTTATGTGTCTAACAAGATCTTTTCCTCTGGGAAAACAATGTGTTCTCAGCTGCACAAATGGCTCACATATTTATGCATAACTCTCAAGTGGTATCTGACTGAAGATGGAAGACACTGCAATTTTTCACACAGCAAAATATAATACTAATAGTCAGTATAGCCATTCCCCACACATAAATATCAGCTTTTTACAAGTATTCAGTAGAAACAACTTGTAATGTGATGGGATCACGCTTGCCTATGAGGAGAACCCCCCCCCCAAATACATATATAATGATTTTTCGCAAAGGAAATAATAAACATGATACAGTGTGACCTACTACCACCTTACCTTTTTTAAAAAAGTAGGATGTTAATTTTGAAAATGAGTTAATGGATCATTTATAATACATAAATAAATCATAGATAAGTCATCATGCACATCTTCTATCTGTAATTATAGATTTTATTTTTTTTTACATTTAAAACTGAATGTAATGGGCTTCACTGCTTAACATCCACTGCCACAATCTGCATATATACACAAACACATAAGAATTATTGGATTCTTATAATATGGACAGATTTGTGAATAGAATAGAATAGAATAGAATAGAATAGAATAGTTTTTATTGTCATTGTGTAACTCACAATTAAATTAAGTGCTGTCCACAGTGCACACTACACACAAGTAAAAACCACAAATAAAAACATACATTATATACAGACATCCTTCACGTTCTATTCACTATTGCGCTGCCCCTAATATTGCACTTCAATAGCCACTTGTTGTGGCTTTGGTTTACTGGTTTGTGTATCCAGTAACAGTGACATTGTTAACAAGCCGTGGTTAAACAAGCCATAGCTTAAGGTTTAATATTTTAATACTCAGCCAACAAGTATGAACCCAGCCCTAATACTATAATCTATCTTCCATTATTTTAGTTGAACAGTACAGGTAGTCCTTGGCTTGCAACCACTCATTTAATGACCGAAGTTACAATGGCACTGGAAAAAGTGGCTTATTACTACTTTTTGCACTTACAACCAGAGTAACATCTACACCATGGGTGTGAAACTCACTGCATCACGTGATGTGTTGCAACGTATCGTGACTTTTTTCACATTGCCGGAGCTGGGGTGGGCATGGCCTCTGCATGATGCAACTGGCCCGCAGGCCGGTAGTTTGATACCCCTGATCTACACAATCATGTGATCAAAATTCAAGCACTTGGCAACCAACATATATTTATGATGATGGCAGTATCACAGGGGTTATGTGATCATCATTTGCAACCTTCCCAGCTGGCTACCAACAAACAAAGTGAATGGGGAAATTTGGATTTGCTTAATGACCATGTGATTCACTATGTTTTAGTCTCCAGGCCTTTAAGCATCTAAGTTGCTCTTCTTTGTACCTTTTCCAAAGTCTCAACATCTTTTTTGCAATGTGATGACCAAAACTGGATGCAGTATTCCAGTATTTGATCTTACTAAGGCTTTATAAAGTGGTACTAATACTTCACTTCATATAACTCCTGAACAGAGTGAGAAATGAATTAAGCAAAA